GTCCGCGGCCGCCCCGCCCCCGGTTCGCTCCGCAGCGCCCCCCGCGACCGGCACGGGAACTGCAGGCGCGGCCTCCCGGGCTCCCTCCCGGGGGTGGGGTGGGGGGCGCTTGGCATGGAGACCCTGGGTTAGCAGAGCGGTGTGCCAGGCGCTCGGCGGAGCCAGGAGAGTCAGGGGGCCCGCCCAGACGGTAACTCCAAGGCCAGGCTCGCCCACCTCTGCGGGCAGCCTGGTAAGGGTGGTACACAATTTGCTTTGAAAGTTCCGAGTGTCTGAAGGGGTGCGAGTGAAAGATGCTGTCTTTTCCTCCAAGCTGTCTTAGACCTGGACGCAGGTCCAACCCTGGGTTACTAGATATCCCCTCAACGGGGATCATTCCCGAGGGCCCCAAGGCTTTTTCAGGTGGAGGTTTTCACAACACACCTAATCGAGTGGGGTAGCCCATGTGCCAGGAAGGCTGGGGCAGTTCTTTGTAAGTCTAGCATCCGGGGACTGAGACAATGAGGGTTCAAGGCCAACTTAAGACACAGGGAGAATTTGCGCCCAGCTTGGGCTACAAGTGAGACCATGAACACACACATACTCACACTTTATCTCATATGCCTAAGGTCAGGAGTCCAGAAATAGTTTAGCAAATTCTTTTACATGCAGCCCCAAGACTAGTAAGGCTTCTACTGAATTCTCATCCCGAGAGTCAAATGGGGACCAGTCCCCTTGCGAGCCATTCAGGAAGTTGGCAGAGCTTATTTCTTGTGACATGACTTGAGGCCTGGAAGTTTTGTTGAAACTCCACCCAAACTTACTAGAGATTATCCAATGACTCACCAGGGAGAGTTCTCTAAAGGAGCCTCGTACTTCATGAACCTGACAAGGAGAATTTAACTTCGATTTGCTAAAACAGAGCTTGATTTGGTTTTGCGTGACTTGGGTATCCAGCCCAGGGCCTCACATGCTGGGCAACTTCACCAGCCCTAAGACAGAGCATTTGTGCTTGTGTGAGTGAATGTATGCATGGGGAGGCAGGGTGTGTGGGCCCATGCATGCATGGAGGCCTGAAGAAAGTATCAGATCCTTCAGGGCTGGAGTCCAGGAGCATATGCAGAATGCCTAAATTGCTCCATGGGTGCCAGGATCCAAAATCTGATAGTCATGATTGTTCACGTATTTTTAACGACAGGGCCGTCTTTCCAGTGCCCAAGCCAGAGCATGTGTCACTTATTATTTGTGTAGCAGAAATGACATGTCGTCACCTTTGCTCTAGTCTGTGATTGGAAGCAAGTCACAGGTGTTACTGACAATCGAACGGACGGAATCCTACAAAGGTGTGAGTGTCAGAAGGCGAGATCATTGGTGGTCATCACAGAGTCTGTCCATCAAGCCAAAGTTACTGCAAAACCCAAGGACAAGAGACCCAGGGACTGAGACTGGAAGAGCTGAGAAAGGAAGACAAAATACACAATGGAGTGGATCATGGTGGATGTCGCTGGGAATCTCTTCACCTGGGATGCTGACATAGGAGGATTGCAGGTGTGAAGCCAGCCGGGGCTGCACAGCAAGACCATGTCTACGAACAAACACACAGTCATTAACTGGAGCCAGACACGTGGTCATGTCATCCCAACACCAGGAGGCAGAGGCAGACAGCTTTCTGTGAGTATGAGGCCAGCCTGGTCTGCACAGCAAGTCCCTCACCAGGGCAAACAGGGCTGAATAATGAGACCCTCTCTTATCACACCACCACACCACCAAAAAAATATAGTGGCACAGGTTGTTGTTGTTGTTTGTTTTTTGACAGGATTCCTCTGTGTAGCTCTGACTGGCCTGGAACTCAGAGAGATCCCCCTGCCTCTGCCTCCGGAGTGCTGGGATTAAAGGTGCCACCTCTCCAGCCCCTAATCCCCATCTTAATCCTTGTCACTGTACAGAAGCCCAGACTGTCCTACTCAGTTCCCCTCCTGTTTATATCATAATGTCTATTTGCAGACAGCCTTTCTGCTCATCTGTTCAAAAATGAATTTATTTCTAATTATGCGCATGTTCCTGTGTCTTCCTGTGGTCATGTGTACCTGAGTGCAAGCACCCAGAGAGGCCAGAGGCTTTGGATCCTCCGGGAGCTAACGTTACAGACAGTTGTGAACTGGCCAGTGTGGGGACCGGAAACTGAACTCTGGTCCTCTGGAAGAGCAGTAAGCATTCTTAACCACTTAACTGTTGCAGAATATCATTTTAAGGTGTGTTACTTTTGTTTATGTTGCATTTGTTTAGCTCTGTGAAGCTGTGATTCTTTGCCTGTCTAAAACACCTGATGGTCTAATAAGGGAACTGAACAGCCAAATAGCAAGGCAGGAGAAAGGATAGGTGGAGCTGGGAGGCAGAGAGAATAAATAGAGGGAGGAGAGATCAGGTAGCCAGAGAAGGAGGGAGGACTCTAGGGGCCAGCCACCCAGGTATACAGCAAGATTTTTTACAGAAGTTAAGAGAATGAGGAAAGCCCAGAGACAAGTTAATTTAAGTTAAGGAAAGCCGGCAAGGAACAAGCCACGCTAAGGCCAGGCATTCATAACTAATAATGAGCCTCCGCGAGTCATTTATTTGGGAGCTGGGTGGGGGTAAACAACACTGAACCATCTCTCCATTCTGCTCACCTAAAAAGATGTGGGGCTGGAGATGTAGTTCATCGGTAGAACATAGCATTTATGAGACCATGTTCCAACACACCACATACACACACACACACACACACACACACACACACACACACACACACACGTGCGCGCACGAAACAGAAAAGAGAAAGAGGGGAGTCTCCTGTCTGTATCCACTCCCCAACTTTCTCATCCTGTCCTATATGAATTTCTTTTCATTGAGGTTGCAATTACATGCTCAAATTAAAAATAAAATAGTTGGGTGGTGGTGACCCATGTCTTTAATCCCAGCACTTGGGAGGTAGAGGAAGATGGATCTCTGAGTTTGAAGCCAGCCTGGTCTACAATGCAAGTTCCAGGTCATCCAGGACTACACAGGGAAACCCTGTCACAAAACAAAACAGCTTTTTGGATGACTGAGGCAAGAGGATGACTTGATTACATGAGTTAAATGCTAGCCTGGTCAACATAGCCAGAACAAAACAAAACACAGAGCCAAAAGCTGTGACCTTCCACTTTACACAGCCCGATGCTGAGAGGAAGGGCATTCTTTGTAGATGCAAGTAACTGCTCAGTGCTGGAGCATGTGGGAGTCCTCCCCGGAGCACTCAAAATAGTGACATCCAATGCTAAACCAAGATAGAGTCGATTTACACACACACACACACACACACACACACACTCACACACACTCACACAACAACAACAACAACAAGAGGAGCAGGGTATTCATGCTCAATGGCAAACACATGCTTAACATAGGTAAGGCCCTAGGTTCAATTCCCAGCACTAAAACAACCTAAACAAACAAACAAACAAAAACAGAAACAAAACAAAACCAGCAAACGAGAAAAAGGCTAGAGCAGTTAAGAGCACTGGCTGCTCTTCCCGAGACCACATGTTCCATTCCAGCACCCACACAGTCGCTCACCACGGTCTGTAACTCCAGTTCCAGGGAATCCGATGCCCTCCTCTGGCTTCCACAAGCCTTTAATCCCAGCACTTGGAAGGCAGAGGCAGGAGGATTTCTGAGTTGGAGGAGAGCCTGGTCTACATAGTGATGCCTCGTCTCAAAAAAAAAAAGTTAATTTTGAACAAAAATTTGCATAATATGAAGAGAAAATGATGTGTATTATTTATATGTTCACAATTATAATTATTTTATCATTCTAATATTGATAAATCATAATTACATACACACACAACAACAAACGAAGGAGATACAAGCTGCTTGAACAGTTGTCTGGAACTGGTCACCAGCGCTAGTTGGTATTTGGTGCTTTCCTGACTATCCATTCCACATCTCCTTTGCTCTCTGTCAGGATCTCCGCTCTTTATAATTCTTTCCCTGGTAGGGCAATCCAAATCTCTTTTCGAAGGGCTTTGAATCTCCAGGGGGAGCACACCGCAGACCGCAGACCGTCAGTAGTGCCTCTGCATGGAGCTGTCATGTGTCAGCTGTCCCCTCCCATGCCATCTGGAACCAGGCTGGAGACAGCAGGAACTCCTTGGGAGGAGGAAGTGCGAAGTCGGAAATGGAGGGCAAAGGAAAATTACCTGCCCTTCGGCTTGCTCACGCCTTCACCTTCCACACACCTTGTTTCTTTATATTTTATCCCCTAACACTTCCTTATTTATTCTGTGTGAACATGCAGCAGCCTATATGTATGTAGAGGTCAGGGGACACCTTGTGGGAGTCAGTTTTCTCCTTCCACCATGTGAGTTCCAAGGATCTCACTCAGCTCCTCAGCTGTGGGGGTGAGTGAGCACCTTACCTCCTGAGCTATTTCATGGAGCTCAGGTCGGGTCACGTGACTGCGGAATAGCCTGTGCTTAGGCTTTCAGCTCTACCAGTACAGCAGCCAGGATGAAGAGAGAGGTCATCTCCAGAAAAGGACACGGATTTGTTCCAAATTCTGAGAGTTCTGTGTGGTGGTTCACCAAGTGGGGCTTGCCAGTGACTCCACACAGGCTCTCTGTTTGACAGGAAGACTTTGGATCCCATTGAGTTTCCCGGCTGCTTAGGTTCAAAAGCAGCTTGGAA